TTGCCCCCCCCCCCCCCCCCCCCCCCCCCCCCCCCCCCCCCCCCCCCCCCCCGCAGCCGCAGCTTCTCGCCTTGACGTCGTTGCGGGCGATGCCCGGCAGGTCGAACATCAGCAGCACCCTGTCGGCCTGCTCAATGACGTCAAAGGGGAGGGGGCGGGTGGGGGCACGGCGCCAGGCGCCGGCGCGGCGCGGCCCAGTGAACAGCGAGGGGTCGAGCAGGCCAGTGGAGCCCTCCTCCAGCTCGCGCGCCAGCGACTCCAAGCCGGCCCAGGAGTTCCTGAGCCCCTCGGAGCTGCAGGCAAGGGGGGGGCCAAGGAGCGGAGCGCCGGTGGCTTCCGCCATCCAAGCATGCGATCGGCTGCGCTTCTGCACCACACAGGCAGCGCATCGGTGTCTCCCGGCAACGAGGGGACCTCAGGTACACCCTGAGGGCTGGCTGGGTCACCGCTACTCACGTGCAGTTGCCGTGCATGCCTTCGGGCCTCCTGGGGCCGCCCATGCGCCCCGCGCGCATTGGACGCCAGCGCCCTTCAGCCATGGACGTACATGATGCCCGAGCCGACACACGGCCAGCGTTGCAGGCCACCGGGCGAGCAGAGAGGGCGGCAGCAGTGGCGAGTTTCATTGTCGGCACGCAGGTGGACAGAAGAACCTGGAACAAGTACCGAAGAGCGGTTTCGACAAACTAATGTGATCGAGGTGTGCTCAGCCATCACCTCAGCAATTCTGCCCATGTGCCAGCGTGGTGGGCGCTGGTGGGGAAGGCCCTGGAAGGAGAGACGGATGCCAGTCCTCGCTGCATGTTAAGGCGTCGCAGCACCAGAAGAAGCCGATTGCTGCAGCTGAGCCGTCTGGCCGCTGGCAGTGGCACCTCCCCGCCTGACTCCGCCTTGCGCTGGTGGCGGAGCGCTGCTACTTATGACAATCGCTTCCTCCTTCCTTTCTTCTCCACTCCCAACTCAGCTCTCTCCCACCGCATGGTACAATTACAATAAAGGAGGTGAAGCGGCGCATTGCACACAGCGCAGCCGCGCCGCAAGCCACCAGCCCATGCTGCCTCCGCGCCGCCGGTCGGCACGGCGTCCTGCTCACAGAACAACATCAGCAGACCAGGGCCGGGCCGGGCTAGCAAGCGTGATCGGAGCATGCAGCAGCAGCGCTACTCGGCCGCAGGCATGTGCACCACCCGGTGCACGTAGTCGCCGCGGCGGCGCCTGGCTGGCTTGATCAGCCCCACATACTGCAGCTCAGCCGTAGCCTGGGAGAAGCGAGCCGTCAGCTCCCGCACCCTCCGCCTCTCCTCGCCCTGCCCCTCCTGCTCCTCCTCCCCCTCAGTCGCCACCCTGCGGCTGCCGCTGGCATCCTTCTTGGCCGCCTTCTTGGCTTTCTTCACAGCGGCCTTGCGCTTCTTGCCGGCGGGCCCAGCGCTGCCGCCTGGCTGCGCTGCCCCCTCGTGTACCGCCGCAAAGGCTTGGTACCAGTCTGCAAGGTTGACGCACTTGGGGTCCTGCAACAGTGGTACGGGCGGTACCAGCAGCGGGACGGTTGGCGGCGGCACCAGCACCGGTGGGCACAGCCGGTGGCCGTGGCAGGCGCAGCTTGGCGCACAGCCCACAGCAGGGGGCGGGCGCCCCGCGAGCACCGACAGCATCCACAACAAGCATGTCAAAAAGTGGGACGGGGGAAAGGGAGACAGAGAGGCCCCCCCCACCTGGTCGAAAATGGAGTAGGCCAGGCAGGCATCGTCCTGCGCCGCGTTCAGCCCCAGGCTGTCGGGCAGGCCTGGCAGGAAGAGGTGCGGCTCGGTCAGCGCCATGTGCAGAGCCTGCGCGGGGCAGAGGAGCCACGCACGGCGCGTGTTTCGAGTGTGTGTGATCCAGTGCGGTGGTGGTGGTGGCGCGCTGTGCCGGGGACACAGCATGGGGAAGAGGGCCGGGTGTGGCGACAGGCGCAGGCACCCACCACGCGGGGCTCCGCTGTGAGGCAGTCCAGGGCGCCAGCGTCGCGGCAGGTGAACACAGAGGCGCCTGCAAGCGGGAGGAAAGCGGGGCGGGCGCACGTGAACAGCGGCAGCGGGCAGCATGTCGCCTGACCAAGAGGAAAAACACGTAGCTGAGCTGCACTGACGCCACAAAGGAGGCACGAAGCAGGGAGCAGCCAGCAGCAGGCTGCCCGCCCGCCTCACCAGGCAGCTTGGTGGGCGGGGCGGCCAGCAGCTCGCGCAGCGCTGGCGCCAGCCAGGCCGCCAGGCCCGCGCCCGGCGAGGCCGCCTCCTGCGCCAGCCTCTTGGCGGCGGCGGCGGCAGCGGCAGCCGAGGCGCCGCCCTTGGCCGCGCCCTGCTGTGCCGACTTCTGAAGCAGCGCTGCGTTGCGGGACTGCCTGGAGTGGAAGCGGTCGTGTTTGGCCTTGCCCTGCTGCTTGCCACCGCCACCCAGGTCGGCATCCGCAGCCGCCGCCTCTCCCGCCTCGCACGCCGCTGCGGCGGCGGCCTCGGCGCCCGACCTCCGCCGGCCTCTTGGCGCCTGCTGCTGCTCCTCCTCCTCCGCTGCCTTCTCCTCTGCCTCTGCCTGGCCGCCCGCCAGGGCCGCCAGCTGCTCCAGCTGCCCTGCAGCTGCCTGGACGCCGCCCCACACCGCGGCGGCGCGCTCCAGCAGCCGCATCGCCAGCTGCTCCGCCGCCGCGGCCGGCAGCCTGCGCAGCTGCGGCTCGATGGCGCCCAGCAGCTGCTGCAGCTGCCCGGCGGCAAAGTCGTGCACCAGGGCCTCCTCAATCACCTTCCAAGGACGGAAGTCTGCAGGAGGGCGCAGGAGGCGGGCCGGCAGCCGAGGCACGCTCGGCGCCGCCCCAGGCCCTGCCCAGCCTCCCATCAGCCGCATGACCCACCCTCTGCGCTGCTCCTCTCACACTCCTAGTTGTGTGCAGGCAGGCAGGCAGGCAGGCAGGCAGGCAGGCAGGCAGGCAGGCAGGAGACTCACCCTGGCCGCGGTGCCCCGCCGCCTCCGCCGCCGCCAGCAGCCACTGCAGGCCCACACACCAGCGGCTCCACCCAGCCATGGCCTCCCCCACCGCCGCCGCCAGCTGCGCGTTGGTGCGCCCGCCCAGCGCCTGCCGGGCCTGCGCAGCCAGACCCCATGGGCAGCAGCACGCGTGCTTGGCAAGCCGATGCGTGTGCAGGCTGGCACCAAGTGGCATGGTGGCAACCACACAGGCTCCTCAAGCCCTCTCGCTGCCAATGCAGGCAGGCAGGGTGCAGCGGCGGCTTGGCCGGCGGGAGCACAGCGCGGCACCTGTGCCAGGGTGGCGGGGTCCAGGTCAGCGCACGCCTGCTCCACAGCCGCTGGCCCCTCCACCGCCGCGGCAGCCAGGAAGCTCAGGGGTTGGGTGAGGAAGTGGCTGAGGGAGGCCACCTGCATGCGAGGTGCGGCGTCGGGTTAGGGCGCAGCACGGCAGCAGGGCCGCTGCGGCTGCTTCCACCCATGCAGCAACCGTGTGGGGCAATGCTTGTTTGCGGCATGGTTGGCGCCCCGCCAGCCCAACCACCACCGCAACCACAGACACACTACCACAGCACACCGCTCCCCCCCACCTTGAGCCCTTGCATGATGCAGCCGGTGCTGTAGTAGTGGTTTAGGAAAGCGTCGGTCAGCTTGCTGAGGATGGCGCGGCTGCGGCAGCCACACGCACGTGGCGAGGGAGAGAGGCACAAGAGGCAATGGCGGTAGAAGTTCGGCACACGCAGGTGGCAGCGCGATGGGCATGTGCTGCAGGCGAGGGCCTGGCTGCCTGGCGCCGAAGCTCGCAGCTGACAAGCGGCTCAGCGCCCTGCGCTGGCTGACGTGCATGCTGCGCAGCGGTCGAGGCCAGGCCGCCAGCCCCAGCCCGCCTCACCCGCCCTCACCTGAACAGCAGGCCCGGCCAGCGGCCGCCGCCACCCAGCAGCACCTGCTGCACCAGGCCGTCCAGCCGGGTCATGGCGCTGGCCTGCATCCCAGTGAACAGCAGCGGCAGCAGCAGCGGCAGTGAGCCAGCGCCGAGCCAGCGGCGGCGGGGCTGTGTGCGCCCCAGCCATGTGTGCCTGGCGTGGCATGCGTCGGGCTGGCAGGCTGCAGAGGAGGAGAGGCGCCATAGAGGCTACGGGAGCCGGCCCAGGCTGGCGGGCGTCGCAACCCACCAGCCTGAAATGCTGCATCTCCAGGCAGCGATCCACGAGCCTGGGGGGCAGCAGGCCGTGCAGCGCGGCGGCGGTGGTGGTCAGCCCCAGCACCAGCGTCAGCGGCACGTCTTGGTACGACTGCAGGGGCGGCATTGCGGGCGTTGTTGGGACGCAGTGGCGGCAGCAGAGGTGCGGGCGGCAGGGAGCCCTGGCTGGGCTGGGTCTCTCGGCCAATGGTCGCCTCCACACCCCGACCCCGGACTCACCTCGCTGGCTGTGAGGATGAAGTCACGCAGGCACTTTTCATCCACGCTCTCCGTGCCCTCCACTATCACCACCAGCGGGCGCTGCCGGCTGGCCAGCTGCGCCGCGGTGGCGCACCCCGCTGCGGCGGCGGCGGCCGGCCGCTGGCGCAGGCCCCGCGCCTGCTGGTCGCCGCCGGGCGCCGCCGCCGCCTCCCCGCCTGCTGCCGCCGCCGCCTGCTGCCTGCCAGCGCCGGTCTCATCCTGGTACCACTGCCGCAGTGCGTCCATGTGCTCTGCCTTGCTGGCCGCCATGCCCGACAGCTGGCGCAGGACCTCGCCAATTGCGTCGCCAGGCACCTTGCCCAGGCTGTGCGGGTGCAGCAGCGCGGCGTAGCAGCCGTGCTGGCGCAGGAAGGCGGCGAGGCGCGGGAAGGTGTGGCAGTGGTCGGCGCTGTTCACGCCGCCGGCCAGCACCAGGCCTGTGGGCACCCGCTGGCAGCCGGCAAACTCGGGCAGGCCCGCGGCCCGCGGGGCCGGCGGGCGGTGGCTCTGCTGCGCAAAGCGCAGCAGCTCCTGAAACACCTCGGCATCGGTGGCCTCCAGAGTCTCCTGCGACGGCAGCAGCATAGACCGGGCGTGAAGGGCGCCATGTGGCCAGCGAGGGAGGGGCAGCGGAGCATGTGACGCAGCGTCAAGTGCTTGCGACAGGCGGCAGCAGCCGGCAGCAGCAGCGGCAGCGATGGGCAAATGCTGAGTAGCCGTCAGCCGTGTACGCCCAGCCAGGTGCCGTGTGGAAGCGCCTGCTGCCCCCATGCACCACAACCCACCTGCATTCGCTGCGCCAGCGCGTCCCAGCACTGCTGCGCCGCCGCCGCACGAGCCAGCCGCTGCTCGGCCGGCTCCCGCTTGAACAGCTCGGGGAAGGCGGCCAGCTGCAGGTCGTGCGTCAGCTCCGCCTGGCTGGAGGCCTTGCCCCGGTGCCCCTTTTGCTGCTGGGCGGTGAGCGCGTCTGGGCCCTCGTGCACGAGAGTGAACGCGCCGTCCTCGTCCTCCGCCTCCATTGCAACATCGTGCCACTCCATTCTGGGTGCCGTAGGCAATGCGGAGGGCGTGGGGAGGCAGCTGCAGGCGGCGATCAGTTGAGCTGGGTGCTGGGAGAGCAGCCAGGCATTGTAGAAGCACGGTAGTGCTGTGCGGGGAAGCAGGACATGGAACGCAATGCGATTGGGGCGCAGAGACCACGGACAGCACTTCGAGTCCAGCTGGCCTTCCTCTGCTCAGGGCGCGCAATGGCGAGCCCATGGGGAGGCCTCTGCCACTTTCCATAATCCACACGCTGTCCATGAACTTGTCTTAAGGCGCCTGGGGCTCCCAAGCACACATGCCCTGGTGCCGCTCTCCAGCCTTCTGGCCTGTGCAGCAAGTTTTCCACTCAATAGCATCTCAGTGAGGTTCGGACCTAAGATCTGAGTCGGCGGAGGGCCAGGAGCGCGGTGGTCACCAGCCGCCATGGCGGAGGCGGCGGGCGCCGGCGGCATCTCCGCCTGGCAGCTGCTCGTGTCATCGGCCACTCCCACCATTATCGTCTGCCTGCTCGGTGCTGTCGGAGCGGCCATGGCACGCAAGGTAATCATGCACTGGCTGCTGCCTCGGTTCGTCAATCCCTACCTTACCAGGCCCCACCTCCGCCATTCTCCCACTCGTCTGCCCCTCCAGCCCTAACTGCCACTGTTTCCACTCCCCGCAGGGCGTGCTGGACGGCCCCGGCTGCCAGGTGCTGGCCCAGATGTGTTTCTTCGTCTTCACGCCCGCCCTCACCTTCTCCAAAGTCGCCCAGGCCGTGTCGCTCGCCTCCCTCACCCGCCTCTGGCCGCTGCTCGCCAACATGACCGCCTCTGTGCTGCTGGGCCTGGCATCCGGCGCACTCGCCAGCCGCCTCCTGCTGCCCCGCACCTCCCCCTTTTCCCTCCTCCTCCTCCTCTCCTGCTCGTTCGGCAATGTCGGCAACCTGCCTCTAGGCAAGTGGGGGGGGGGAGCGGGGGGCGGGATGCCGCCCGAAGCGCGCTGAGGGAGGCTGCGCTGCAGCAGGCGGCCCGGCCCGCTGGCTACAGCCAATGCAGTGCGCCGCCGGCTGTGGTGGCCTGCGCAGCTCACCAGCCTGCCCGCCGCATCCCGACCCCAACCTCCCTTCCCTGCGCCATTCGCTCCCCGCAGTGTTTGTTTCGACCCTGTGCCATGACAAGCAGGCTGTCTTCTACCGCACCCTGGGGGAAGACTGCGAGCACCTGGGTATCGCATATACCGCCTTTGACATTGCTGCCGCCACCCTTTGGCAGTTCACCCTGGCAATCAACCTGATCCGGAGGGGGCGTGCTGCAGCGGAGGCGGCGGCAGCTGCAGGCGGCAACCCGGTCGTCGATGGCGACGCAGCGGCAGGGGCAGCTGCCGGGCAGCTGCTGCCGGTGAGCAGCGAGCTGCGCAAGATGCCCACCCTCTCGGATCTGCTCAAGGGCAGGGGCGGCAGTCGGCTGGGCTCAGCCGCAAGCAGCCGGCCAGGGTCAGCCGACAGCAGCCCACGTGACCATGAGCTGCTGCTGGCGCCCGACAAGCCGACGGGCGGCTCCGCGCTGGCGCCAGCGGTTTGCGGCACGGCGGCTGTTGGCCCCCAGGGTCGCAGCGCGCAGCAGCAGCAGCAGCAGCAGCATGGCTCTGTTCTGGTAGAGCTGCAGCCCACGCCTGGTGCGGCGGGGCCAGGGCACCCGGCGCGCTGGCAGCCGCCGCCTCTAGAGCAGCGGCAGCAGCCGCAGTGGCAGGCCCATGACTCAGCTCAGGATGCATCGCCAGAGGAAGACGACACGGCAGCTCTGTTGCGCCATGAATCAGGAGCAGGCTGGAGCAGCAGCAGCCGCGGCGGCAAGGCAGCACTAGACGCAGCGGCGGGAGAGGGAAGACATGCGGGAGGAGGGGGAGCTGTTGGCGCGGGGCACGGCTGGCTGGGGCGCACCAGCACTTCCGCCTGGCGGTACCTGCGGGGCGTGGACTGGGCTGCCCTGTTCCCGCTGCCCTCGCAGGCAGCCATCCTAGGTGTGCTGCTGTGCTTCTGCTGCCGGGGGCTGCGCGGGGCTGCACAGGGTGCGCCCGCCTGATGCTGGCCTGCTCTTTGGTGGGCTGGCCACGTCTCTGCCTCGGCCCCTGCGCCAACCTGCTTGCCTGCCTGCCTCCCTCACCTGCCTCCCTCCCGCCTCCCCTGCCCCGCCGCTGGGCCCCAGGCATTGTGTGTGGCTGCATCCCCGCCGTCAAGGGCCTGCTCTACTCGCCGCACCCGCCGCTGCGCATGCTGAGCGAGGCGCTCGACGCGCTGGGCACAGGCCTCATCCCCACAGCAATACCGCTGCTGGGAGCTGTTCTCTACAGGCAGGCCGGCAGCCCTGCTGTTGTTTGGGGGAGCCAGGCGGGCAGGCTGGCAGGCACGCTGTTGCATGTGGCACGCCTGCACCTGCACTGCTCTTCCCACCCGATGCGCGCGCACGCTCAGCGCCTGCCACTGCTGGTTCTGCAGGGCGCCGTCTGTGTCGCGGCTGCCGCGGCGCGTCACGCTAGCCGCGCTGTGCCTCAAGCTCGTCATCCAGCCAGCCCTGCTCACCCTGCTGGTGGTGGCGGCGCTGGCGCTGCGCCTCTTTGCCCCGCCGGACCCAATGTTCCTGCTCACCATGCTCCTCTCCAACGCCACGCCCACCGCAATCAACATGCAGGCGAGAGAGAGCAGAGGGGGCAGCCGTGCTCGTCTGCCGGACCCGCCGCGCCTGCCTTCCGCGCTGCTCTTTGCCGCGGCGCCCTGCTGCTGCCTTTGTGACCCACCCTGCCTGCCATCCTCACCCCACCACCTGCCCTTCCCCCGCAACCCCACCTCCTGCATGCAGACGTTGATGGTTCTGTACCAGCACGGCGAGGCTGAGATGAGCACGCTGCTGCAGTGGCAGTACCTGGCCTCTGTGCTCACGCTGCCCGCCTTCATGTGGGCTTTCCTGCGCATCATCGCCGCCTGGCTGTAGCGCGGCGCCGGTGCCGGCAGCAACGAGCGAGCGGCTGCTGGGTGCCTGTAACATGCCGGCACCCCACCCAGCGTGGCGCCAGGGCTTTGCCAGCAGCCGTCAGGAGTGACCCAGGAGCGATTTGTCAAACACAGTTACTGTGTGAAGAGCTGAAAGCAGTATGCAGAAAAACAGAAGCATAGCTCAAGGCCTGCAACAGCTCATCGACCCTCATGAGCCGTTGTTGATCCGGCGTTGAATTCGCACGTGCACCGCCATGCAGAAGGGCAACCGCAGCCGCCATCTTTTGCTCATCTCCAAAAACAGGTTCACTGCTCTACCCCCTCCATCCCCTGCATCCCGCTGCCAATGGGGCTCAGATTCCGCTTGCGCCCCCCCTTGCTGGGCGCCGCGCCTGCGCCTTGCTCCTGCCCGCCAGCCCCCGCCTCGGTGTCTGCCACCGCCGGCGCTGCTCCCGAGCCGACTGCTGCTGCAGCAGCTGCCCCACTGGCGGCCATCCTGCCCTGGGGCGACGGAGTGCGGCGCGCCTGCTGAAGCGCCGCTGCCTGGCCCTGGCCCTGCAGCAGCGCTGCCCAGTCGCCAGCCCCCAGGGACAGCAGCTTGGTCCACTCGGGGGTCAGGAAGCGCAGCATCTGGCGCTTCTGAGCTGGCGGCAGGTCGCCGCCGCCGGCAGCGGCTTCGGTGGCCGCCGTGGCGGCGCCTCCAGCGCCCTGCTGTGCCTGGTCGGCCAGCAGCGGCAGCTGGTCCAGTCCGCTCTGCAGAAAGAGGTGCAAGGCCGCGATATGATGGAGGCAGGGAAACACCCCTGATATTCACACACGCTGCAGCGAGTCCTTGCTTGTTCTGGCATCGGAGCTCACCGTCTCTGTCAGCCAATCCCAGTCAGCAGGCAGCGTGCCCAGCCTGGCCATCTCCTGAGCCACGCCTGCTTGCAGCGACAGAGCAACACGGCGGTCGGCAGGCCGACGCGATGAGCAATGCCCCCACCCTACAGACATCCCAGCACCACCGCACATTCTACACACATGCAGCAGCATGCACATGCTGCCCCTGGTTCTTACCTGAGGCGTGGCTCAGCATGCGCAGCAGCGCCGTCGCACCCAGCTGATCCCCAGCTGCACTCGCCGACTGGCCTCCCAGCGCCCCAGCCGCCGCTGCGCCCACGCCTGCGTCCTCTGCTGCCAGCTGGGCGCCGCCGTCAGGCTTGTAGGCCTCCTGCGGCAGCATGAGGGCTGCCCGGTCTGGTGGCTGAACAAACATGGCACGCCAGGTGGTCAGCAGGCTGGCGTGAGGTGCAGGTCCTCCCAAGGGAAAAGTGGCACTCGCAGGCGTGCCGCCTCACCCGTAGCAGCTGCTCCCAGTCCACCGCAGGCCCAGCAGCTGCCTCGACGCCGCCAAACATGTCGGCCAGAGACTGCACAGGCGAGACCTGCAGACCAGACGGGAGCATGCAATGATTGCAAAGAGTTGCTGCTTTGATGATTCCTGCAGGAAACCGCCGCTGCTGCCGCTGGTAGCAGCAGTGCTGCCACTGGTGAGGGAACAACACTGCTGCCAGTTGAAGTTGGGCATCTCACCAGCAGGCTGCGGGTTCCGCATGCCAGCTGCAGGCTGCCAGCTGCACCCACCCTGCGAGCGCCCTCGCCGATCCCTGTGCCATCCCCTCCCTGAGCTGCAACATTCAGCTCTGCAATGGCGGCCTCGCTCAAGGGGCCTCCAGGGCCAAAGACACTGAGGCTGGGCAAGTCGCTGATCAGCCTGGCCTGCAGGAAGTGGGAAGGAAGTGCAGCTCCTGCTAGGGTGCTGCTAGGTACTGCAAGGTACTGCTGGGATGCGGCATCGTGTCAGCCACAGGAAAGCTGCTGGGCAGGGAGACAGATGGCTGTATGCCAACATGGCTGGAAGCGGCAGTGGCAGCCCCGCTTACACCTCAAGCTCACCAGCGGCGACAGCTGAGGCTCTGGCTCCCCGACGCCTGCCACGTTCCGCCTGCCTGTGTGCTCTGGCGGCGGTGGGGACAGGGACGGCTCTGCGCTGCCAAAGGCTGCTGCCTGGTCCAGGGGACCAGCTGGCGAGTCTCCTGAGGGCCTCAGCAGCAGGTCCTGGCTGCGCCCCGCTAGCTCCAACTGCAGGTGCAGCGGCTTACTGCCCACTGTAGGACCGACGCTATATCCCCTCCTGGCTGCCGCAACGTGCTGCTGCTGCTGCTGCTGCTGCTGCTGCGCCAGCGGCGGCTGGCTGGCATTGATTGAGCGCAGCACGCGGTCAGCCAGGCTGCCGCCAGCAGCGGCGGAGCGGGCGGCGCCGGCAGCAGCTGCCGCGCTTGCTGCTGGCTGGGAGGCGGGGCCCGCACCGTGAGGTGAAGGGGTCACCGGGCTCTGCAGAGCAGAACGGAGCTGTTTTTAGCGCACTGCATGCGCTCGTGTGGGCGTTGCCGCAGGCAGCCCAGGACGCCAGAGGCTGTCCTCACCTGCACGCCCAGCATGGCAAACTCCTCCAGAATCCCAAGCTGCTCGCCCGCCGCCGTCGGGCTGCCGCCGCCTGGAGACCCAGGGTGAGGCGAGTCCCCCGGAGTGAGCGGGCACCGCCGCCATGGGCACCGCCGCGGGAGCAGGAACTGCAGCAGCGGCTTCAGCGCCAGAGGCAGGCCAGGCCTCAACCGGCACCATGACACCGGGCAGGCTGGGCAGCGCTGCCTGCTGCAATGCCAGCTGCACGTGCTGGCCGGCGACCGCGCCGGCTAGGAAGGAGGAGCCCAGGCCGGCGGTGGGCAGGCCGGGACCTGCCAGGAAGCCGGCAGAGGCGTGCGGCACCTGCGGTACAGCCGCGGCCGCCACCTCAGCAGGCAGCAGCACCTGCTCCAGGTGGCAGCAGCTCTGCTCGAAGGCTGGGGTGTCCAGCGGCAGCAGCGCCCAGCCGGGGTGCCCGCGGCTCGCCCAGCACGCCTGCAGTAGCCAGGGAGCCGGCCGGCCAAGTGTGACTGCTGCCGGAGCATGACAGTCTTGCCCACACGCATGCGGCATGCGCTGCCACCACCACCATGTGCGCACGTAGACGGCTGCCCTCACCTTGGCCTGCTGCTTCATGGCTTGCACCTCCCCGTTGTCCACCATCACCTGCTGCTGCCCCTCGCCCGCCTGCCCCTGCCCCTGCCCCTGCCCCTGCCCCTGCCATTGCCCCTGCGCTGCCGCCACGTGCCCCTCCCGCGTCAGCAGAGTGGCCCGCAGCGTGTGCTGGCCGGAGATGTCTGCTGCAGCATGCAGGAGGGCTGCATGCAGGGGACAGCGGGGCACGGCAGCAGCCATCAGTGCTGCTAATACTGCCACCATGTCCATTACATGCCAATCTTCAGCTGGCAGTCACAGGCTGTGTATTGGCAGGCACAGCCACGGGCAACAAGCCAGCAGCCCTCCCTCACCCAGTGGAGCCTCCATGCGAAGATTGGCATCCTGGCAGCCAAAGAGCAGGCCGGTCGCCAGAGAGGCATCCGGGAAGAAAGCACGCAGCCGGCTGTCCTCGCCCACCGCCTGCGGGCGGATGACAAGGCGGCGCAGCTGGAGGCTATGAGCGGGCATGCTAGGAGCGCCGCACCGAGCAGGGAGGGCAGCACTGTTGCTGTTGGTGCTGCACCTGGTGCAGTGCCGCGGCAGCTGCAGCAGCAGCTTGCCAAGAAGAAACTCATCAGTAATTCGCAAGCGAGCGGCCTGGCGCTTGGCCCACCTTCATGGCATGGTCCCGCGCCTCCTCCCATCCCCTCGTCAGCTTCAGCATCTTCTTGACCTGGTCGCAGCGAGCAGCATCTTCCTGCGCCCACGCCACCAGCTGCCGGAACTCGCCCACTGCAGAGAATGCAGAGCAGCATAGCGGCGCTTGATGTCGGCGTGGAGAGGAGGCAGGCACTGGGCAAGGCAGCACGCTTGAAGTCACACGCACAACGTCACAGATCTGGAATGCAAAGCACAGCAGCAGCAGCAGTAGCAGCAGCACCCGCAGCAGCAGCAGCAAGGGAAGGAGCACAGCGGCGCCTCCCCACCAGTGTTGGCGGAGGCGAGGGGCAGCTCCAGGTCGTGCAGCCCCGCCTCCATTGCCGCCTTCCCCAGGTCCCTCAGTTTAGCCTGCAGCCAGGGGGCGGCAGTCGCAGCGCCGGCATGGCCAGCATGCCACGCTGTGCTGGCACCACGGCATTCTGCTGTTGGCACCATGAGCACCTCCCAGCAAGCGCGCTTGCAGCCGCAGCAGGCATTGAGCAGACCGCTCCCCGCTCCCAAACCCAACGGGGTCTGCACTGCCCTGGATCGATGCAGTATGGGTGCAGATCTGTACCTGTGTGGCGTTGCCCACAGCCGTCAGCTTGGAGACGTGGTCGGCGAGCTTAGGGATGGTGCGCTTGGAGGCGGAGCGCACCCGGGGGGTGGCCACCTGCGCCACAGCGGCCGCAGCGGCATCGCCGCAGCTGAGGCCAGCCCGCAAGCAGCCAGCTGCTGCGCCACGCTAGCGACAACTGGTGTGCCTGTGATGGCTGGTGCCGTTGGCGCCATGCATGCCGGTGAGGCAGGCGTGCGGCAGCGCAGGCACCACGCACCACAAAACCATCCGACACTGCGGCCGAGATGGCGGCGCAGCGCTTGCCGCTGCCAGGCTCCACCGCCCGCACCACCAGCACAAAGGGCGGCCGCTGCCCTGACAGCAGCGCCTCGCTGCTGCCTGCGCAGCAGGTGTGGGGCCGGCTGGCAGTCCTGGAAGCCGGCGCTGCGGCTTCAAAGCTGAGATTGTGACGTGCTGACTCGACACACCAAGGCATCCAAACAGGCAGTCGTGCTCACCTGTGATGCTCATTTCCGGCAGCGTGGCGCAGCCCTTGGTCAGCGGGACCACCAGGCGCCCCTCACCGTCGGCGCCGGCCTGCTTGGACGACAGCAGCGGCTGGCCCTGCAGGCGGGGCAGGCAGGAAAGGAAAAGCGTGCGGCAGACGTCATGCAGGCTGCCCGGCACTCTGCACAGCGACTGCATGGCAGCCTGCACCCGAGCAGTCCCGAGTCCGTTGGCGGTGCCCCAATGGTGCTGCCGGCCGGCCAGCCTGCATAGTTGCGGCCGCAGCCTGGCTGGCTGCGCAGTCCACCTGCTGGTTGGCCAGGAGCGTGATGCGGTCCAGCTCGGCGTCAGTCGGCGCCGCGCCGCCCTCCGCCAGGCCCTCGTACGCCTTGCCGTCCACCACACAGATCTGCTTGGGGAGAGAGGCGCAGGTGGCAGCTATGGAGGTGAAGTGCGTGGCACATTCGCGTGGGTGGGTGCATGCTGGGGTCTGAGGGAGGGAGAGGTGACCCACCTGCAGCTGCATGGGCGGGTGGGCGGCCGCCACCCTGCCGGTGGCGCGATCCACAAGCTCTACCCTGCAGGGGGCATTGTAGTCCAGCACTAGGGTAGCACATGCAGGAATGGGATCTTCCTTTTCACCTGCCACCTCAAACTTCAAATTTCCAAAACCAGCCCCAAGCGATCTCGCTCCTGCCAGTGGCGCAGGCGCGCACCTGATGGCGGCGCCACACGCCGCCTTGAGCGGGTCGCCTGCCAGGTACTTGGGGCAGAAGGCCTGAGGGCAGCGCCGCAACTGGTTCTGCGCGCACAGCTGGCAGTGGGCGTCGGCGCAGCCCAGGTGCCTGCAGCAGGGCACATTTTGAGGAGTGCTGATCAGCCTGTGAGCCAGCGCAGCCGCCCTGGCCGGCAGACGAGCGGGCACCCCACCCCCGCCGCGGCTGGGGTCACCTGCAGTCGTGCTTGAACACTAGAGCCAGCTCCGGGGCAGCATCAGGCCGCGGAGCGCCGCTTGCAGCCACACCTAGGCCGTCGCCGGCGGCATGGCCGGCCAGCAGCAGCTGGCGGGTGGCCTCCTGCAGGCCCGCCGCCGCCTGCGCGCCCAGCCAGTGCGCCAGGATGGGCTGCGCGTTGAACTGCTGGATGCGGCGGCGCACATAGCCCTGCAAGTTGAGGGAAGGCAAGTTGAGGGAATGTTGCCAATCGGACTGGTCGGCGTGTTAGGGACGCTGTGGGCGGCCAGCGAGGGAAGCTATGGGCGGCCAGTGGGACCGCAGAGGCCGCCGCCGGCGCTGGTACCTCGAGCGCCACCGGCGGGCAAGCGAGCAGCTCATCGGGGAGCTCCTCTGAGTCATCCATGGCTGCCTGCGGGTGCTGGTCAGGCGTAGAAGGCTGAGGGAGGTGCCAGCGCGGGGCGGGCGTGCAAAACGCGTCAGAACTTCCGCAGGTGGTGGAGGTGCGCCCAGAGCCTCGGGGCGTACCCAGCAACACCCTGAGTAAGGAGGAGGGCAGGGAGCTGGCAGACGCAGCCTTGGACCACCCAACCAGCGCTGACTGGGCCGGGACTAAACTGCCCCGGCTCCCACTTCTATTGCTTTGTCTTGTTATTGTGGCTTCAGCTCTCCCTGCAGAGCATCATCGCACGCCCACGCCGCAGGCGTTTGCAGCGACGGCAGGCGGGCACCGGTGCTCGCAGGTATGTGGCAGGCGGCGAGCCTGCGACGGACTTCAGGCGAGACAAGCATGGCTGCTTTGACGTGTTCATGCTAACATGCGGTGGTTGGCCGGGTGCGAGATGGTTGTATGGCCCTGGAATTTTGGCACCGCTGCGGCCGCTGCCGCCGCCAGCCAGGTGGCAGGCGGGAGCAGCAGCAGGTAACATCGACAGAGCCGTCGGCATCACGCTTGCTCCTCCCAGCCTCCCAGATCGCTTCTGCACTCGTTCAGGCCCTGCTCTCGCCGTCTGCCAACAGCTGGTATCGGGCTCATCCCTTGGGCCGCCCTTGGCTGTCTCGCAGCAGGCGGGCGAGATGGCGCAGGCGATCAACCAGCTGCTCAAGGGCCGGGTGGCTCTCGTGACGGGTTAGTGGTGACCGTCGGGACGCTGGCGCGGCGACCTGGCCGCTCCCAGCCCGCTGATTGGCGCCCCGGGAGCCAGGCAGCGCCCTGGGATGCGCCCTGTCCAGCGCCCTTGTTGGCCGCCGTGCTTGCCGCCGCCTGGCGCCGCCAAACCCTCCCACCCGCCGCCGCCCGCTCCCCTACCCCGCAGGCAGCACCACGGGAATCGGGATGGGCATCCTGAAGCAGCTGGCCGCGGGGGGCGCCATCACGGTGATGCACGGGCTGGAGACGGAGGAGAACATCCTGCAGAAGGCGGCAGCGGTACAGGCGAAGTACGGCAACACCGTGGGCACCTCCACCGCCAACCTGCTCAACCCTCAAGAGATCAGGTGGGGGGCTCTCCAGGCTGCACCTGCTGCACTGACGCGGCTGTAGCAGCATGAGGTGCTCGCCGTGGTGGCACAGTGCGCCGTGTGAACCCAACGCCAGCATGCCCAACTGCCGCTGCTCGCCCGCCACGCAGGGACATGGTGGCTCGGGTGCAGGAGGAGTTTGGGAAGCTGGACATCCTGGTCAACAAGTGAGGCCAGCTCTCGTCGTCGGCCGGACGGGCTGCCGAGCGCGGCGCTGCGCGAGCCTGGCAAGCCCGCCTGCGCTGGCCAGCGCCAGCGCCAGCTTTTCGGGGAGCGGTTGAGCTGGTTGGGGCTGGAGAGCCTGCCTGGCTCACCCGCCGTGCTGCTTCTTGTGCCCTGCCTCACCTGCCTGCGTGCCTGCGTGCCCGCAGCGCGGGCATCCAGTATGTGGCGCCGGTGCATGAGTTCCCAGAGGAGAAGTGGAACGCGGTGGGTGGCAGCGGTGGAGTAGGTGGCGGGCTGCGGCAGAGCGTGCGGTGTGGTGGCCAGCTGAGGCCCTGCTGTATACTTTGTATACAAGCTGCGTTCCTGAGGCCGCCCACTGTGTTTCTGCTCCTGAATTCCTCATCACTGAGAGCCAGCGCTGCCCCTGCCCTCGCCTCCCGCTGCCCCGCGCCCCAGATCATCGACGTCATCCTGAACGCGCCCTTCCACGCCACCAAAGCGGCGCTGCCGGCCATGATCGACGCGGGGTGGGGGCGCGTGGTGAACACAGGCACGCCGCCGCCGCCGCACCTCTGCAGGCGCTACCCTGGCCGTGTCCCAGACCCCGTTAGGCCAGCTGCTGCATGCGTGGATTCTCTGCAGCTGCGCGGTGAGGCTGCGCTGCACTTCTTCCCGCCGCCGCCCTGCAGGCTCCATGCATGCGCTGGTGGCATCGCCCTTCAAGAGTGCCTACAACGCTGCCAAGCATGGCATCGCGGGTTTCACAAAGACTGTGGCGCTGGAGGTGGGTGGGTGGCCAGATGCCCGCAAGGCACCGGCAAGCATGGACACAGCTTGCCGCTGAGCAGCGAGGCTGGGAAGCACGCCCCGCATGCCGCGCCTTGTCCGGCTGTCTGGCAGCCCGCCGCGTCCAACGCCGCCCTTGTCCTTCATCCTTCCTCTCCCCCTGCCTCGCCCCTGCCGCCGTTCTTGGATGCCTGCCAGGTGGCCACCAAGGGGGTGACGTGCAACGCCGTCTGCCCCGGCTACGTCATGACGGAGCTCATCGAGAAGCAGCTGGCCAACCAGGCCAAGACGAGAGGCATACCCAAGGCGTGCGCACGTGCCCTTCTTTCTTCCGCAGCCATGCGAGCGGGAGCCTGCCTGTGTGCAGGTTGCGTGTGCCTGTGCGCGGTCATGTAGGAGAGGAGCGGTGCGTGGCCCCCAGCCGTGATCCGTGCTTTCTTTATTGTCTTTTTTTATTGCTTCTGCAGGAGAAGGTGATCACCGATGTGCTGCTGGTAGACCAGCCCATCAAGCGCTTTGTGAAGCCAGAGGAGGTGCGCCCCGCCTTGCCGCAGCAGCTGCCTTGCTGCTGCATGCTGGTCCAGTCGCTGCGCTTGCCGCGCGTGTTGCGCCGATGCCCGGTGCTGCACGTGACTGCCAGCTGCGAGCAGCAGGGGCTCCTCCATGTGCTGAGCGGCTTGCTGGGGCTGTTGCGGGCGGTGCAGGTGGGGTCCCTGGTGCGGCACCTGTGCACCGACGACGCGGCAGCCATCACAGGTGCCTGCCTGTCAATTGACGGCGGCTGGACGGCGCGGTAGCTGGGGCAGTGCCAGCGGCCGCAGCAGCAGCAGCACCGCCACCACCAGCTTGCAGGCGGACGGCTGCACCACTCGGGGCCAGGGAGCCGCGCGCCGCTGTGCCTCCCCGTCTCCCTCCCTGTACATCGTGCCTCTCCCCGCATGTTCTGTCACATGCGTGTAACACACGGTCTGTACAAGTCTATCTGGCAGGTACATAAGTGCAGTTGAGACCCGTGGTGTCGGCTGCCGGCGTGCGCCGCCGCCTGCCGACGCCAGGCGTGCAGCAGCTCAGCCCACGGCCTGCTCCAGCTTGGACTTCTTGTGTGGCGGCGATGCGCTGGGGCTGGCAGAGGGGCTGGGGGCAGCGGCAGCGCCCTCCTGGCCTGCCCAGGCCATGCTGCCCATGCTGGGGCGGTCGGCAAAGGGTGGGATGTTTGCCACAATCCCGATCGCGCAGTAGAACTCCTCCACAAAGGTCGGGCAGTTTGCTGCAGCAAGGCGCAGCCAACGGGTGGCCCCTTGCCACGCCATGGAAGGATGTCGGCGGGCCTGTCGGGAATGCAGAGCAGCGCAGCAGCAGGCGGGCTTGCCGCCCCACCTCTAATGAATCTGTGCGTCGCCCCCATGGTCCAATCGGGGAAGGACTCCTCTCCACCCAGCCAGATGGTGCTGCACGGCAGGCGCTCGGAAATGCTTAATCCTTAATGCTTAATGCCCCTGCTACGCTGCTGCCGCCGAAGGGGAAGGACGCGGTGCAGCCCACAGGCAGGAGGCCCCTGGGCTGGCCGCCACGACACATGCACTGCGCCCAGCGGAAGCTGGCAGCCCAGCGCCTCACTCGGTGTCGAAGCGGGCTCCCATGGTGCACTCCAGCCAACCGGTGGGGTCATCATGCGCCCACCCCATCTTGTCGTCGCCAGGCGCGCTCAGGATGCTGGGCCCGATCCTGGAGACCCGCAACGCCTTGAAGGCGGGGTCATACTTGCCGCGGGGCGGCCACTCGTCTTCGTCCGAGTCCACGCCGCACATCTCGTCCTCCGGCTGTGGGCAGGGAGGGAGCACGGCCAGGACTCAAACGGAGTGTACAGACATGCATGGCAGGGGACAGCCGGAAGGGCAGCCGAGGCAGAGGCCCGCGTTGCGCCAGACTGGCCAAGCGTGCCCACTCACCTCCTGCCACACGCGCACCAGCCTGTACAGCACGCCCACCGCATTCAGCGCGTGCAACAGCGTCGCATCCTCGCCCTTGAGCATCGCCGGCACGTCCTGCCGGCAGAGCAGCGTCCCGTGAAGTGCCAGTTGGGCGGGGCATGCAGGCTGCCTGCCAGCTGGCCTGACGGCTGGCCTGACGGCCTGAGCTCCTGGCAGCCTGCCTGCCAGTCAGCCCCAGGCGGTCATCCTGCTCACCTTGGCCTTCACATCAGCCAGCAGGGACTTGGGGTAGGCGTGCTGCAGGCAGGGACGGACAAGAAGGGCGTGCCATGCACCGCTCGGCATCACCTGACACATGCCGGCAGACGCGCCAGCGGCCTTGCCACGGCGCTGCCGCCCACGCCCATGTGGCACCTGGCAGGCAAAGCCCAGGGCGCCGCCGTTGACCAGGAAGTCTTTTGAGTCGAGCGCCGCCCGCAGCGCCTGCACCAGCCGCCCCGCGCCGCCCGACAGGCTGGCCAGGTGCGCCGGCATCCGAGCCACCGCGTCGGCTGCAGGCGCGGGCCGCGCCGTGAGGATGTGCACCGAATGGCAGGCTTGGGCTGGGCATGGGAGCAGCGCAGGGCGTCCCTGGGGGCCATGCCGGCTGGGCAGGGCTTGTGGCGCTGCCCAGGACCCCATCAGGCAGCAGCAGCGGGGCACACCAGGGGCTGCCACCCACCCGGGTGCGCAAACAGCTCCCAGGACAGCGTCACCCGCGCGCCGCTCTCCACAGGTAGCACCTCATGCAGGCAGTCCGAGAAGAAAGCGGCCCACTGCACCTCGCCCGCCGCGGCGCCGGCACCCCACTCGTACACCACGCTCCTGCCGCCGTGCCGCACCCGCAGGCCGCCACCCATGTGCGCCACGGGCAGGCACAGCACCAGGGAGCCCACAAACCGCGGGTTGCCGCGCGGCGTGTCCCTGTGGCCCCTGAAGAAGCCGCCTGGGCCGTAGACGTTGAGAGTGTGCAGCTGGACGGTCAGCAGCGCGGCGTCGGGCAGCAGCAGGCGGCGCACCGCCTCCAGCACGCCGCCGTGTGCCGCCAGGTCGAGCTGCGTGAAGAGGCGGCTGGCGGGCACAGCCAGGGCCTGGCGGTAGGATTCATCCAGCACTGCAGACGGGGACGGCATGGTGGCGGGAAGGGCAAAGGAAGTTGGGAAGGAGCAGCGAAGCGAGGGGAGCTTGGCAGCTGGGCAGGCAGGGAGGCGTGCGGGCCCCGTGCCGGGCGTCCTCGCCCACCCTAGCTGCCGCCCACCTTCTTCCGTCCCCCTTCCAAAGGTGGCGGGCACGCAAGCCTCCTGCAGCGCCTCCACATCGGCCTGGCCGCCGTCTGGGAAGGTCACCACCACCGCCTGCCTGGCTCTGCTGCTGGTGCTGCTGCCCGAGGCCCCGGGCGTCCCCGCCTCGGTCTCGCCTGCCGCACCCGGCAGCGGCGGCGCCACCGCCAGCGAGATGGGCAGGCGTCCCAGGCTGCCTCCCACGCAGAAGGCAGCCCCCATGTTGGTGGAGGCCTCGTGGATGCTCTTCAGCACCTGCCTCTGCGATATGAGCAGCAGAGAGTCGGGCCCATCCTCCTCCTCTGAGCCATAGCCCTCGGTCTCCTCCTCCTCCTCGCTGCCCTCCTCCTGGCTGTCCCCCAAGCCCGCTGCACCCTCTGCATCGTCAGGTGCACCGCTGGCCTGCTGCGGCGGCGGCGGGGCCGCTGCCTCAGCCTGGCCTGCTGCTGGCTCCTCTGGCCCTGCGGCTGCACCTGGCTGCTGGTCTGGCTCCATGGCCTCTGTGCTGGAGATGAGAGGGGCTGCCACTCCCTGCAGACCCGAGCCTTGGCTGTTTCCCGCCTTTTCCTCTGCCTTCCTCCCTCGTCGATTGCGGGGCCCAGGGCGCTCTCCAAGACTGCCCACTGCCAACCATGCGCCCATCAGTTCCCCTCCAAGGCTGCCCTGGCAAGCGCAGCGGCGGCCGGGCCTGCGTGCGGCGGCGATTCTACCAGCAAAGCGCTCCCTAAGTACGACGCTTGTTGGAGTGCGCAGCTCTGTTGCGAGCGTCACGCCTCGTGGGTGGGAGCCCTGGCAAGCGTGTTGCAGGCAGACAGAGTCTGCAGGTGGCAGGGCCTGCCCGCAGGCTGGGGTGCCCGCTGAGCTTCCATCCTGACCGCCGCTCCCGTTACCTGCCGCCACCTGCCCATCAAACGATCTTACACTCGCAACCCGGCACGCAGCATGCCACAGCCCAAAACATGCAGCCGATAAAATCCAAGATGGCACCCCGCCCGCTTCACTCATGCTGCCACACAAAGGGCTCAAAGCAGTATGCACCGCTCTTGGAGGCCAGCTTGCTGACGGTGGTCAGGCAGCTCAGCACGTCGTAGCCCAGGCGCAGGTCTGGGTCGGGCTCCGCCTCCTCCTCGCTGTGCGCCAGCGTGTTGTTCACCTGCAGTACCGGCGGTACAGGCAGTACCGGCGGGGGATTGCAACCGCGTTGGGTGTGTATCAAGGTACCAAGAAGTTGAGGCCGGTGGTAGCAGCAAAGGGAAGTTGGCAGACGCCTGTAACCACGCGGCCAGCCAGGCCAGCCAGCCAAGCATTGTTCCAGCAGCTGAGCCGGCAAGCAGGCAGCCGGCGGCCAGCCAGGGTCGGCGACACACCATGATCAGGCCCAGCTGGTGCAGCCGGCTCCAGTCGAATGTGATGTAGCGCTGCGCCGCCGTGCGCACATCCGCCTGCGACTGCGCCTTGGTGAGCCGGCTCATGCCCGGCTGCTGCAGGGGCGGGAGACGGGCAGCGGCGGGGCCGGTCAGTGCCCGCGCTGGCGTTTGTGTGTGCCGGGAAGCTTGAACAGCAGGGGTGCACTGGCGGCCAGGTCCGCGAGACGGCGGCATGCAGCAGCCGGAGACCAGGCACCTCCCGGCGCCTCCCTGGCCGCCCGCGGGCACGCGCCGCTGGCGCGCGTGCCAGCCCGCTGGCGTCCTCAGGATCCGCAGGCTGGGGTGCCACAAACCTCCTTCAGGAGCCTCCACGCCACCACCACGCCGTCAGCGTCGTTGCAGTATGCCTCGGCCATAGCCTCGAGGCGCGGGCGCAGCCTGCAGGGCGCGGAGAGGGCTGTGGGCCGGGGCAGGCGGGTGGCCGCGCGAGGCCAAGCGCTGAACCTCCTCCCAACCGGCACACACAGGACGAACAGCGGCACGGCGCCCACCTTGCAAAGGCCTCCACGATGCCCTTCTGCTGCTGCATGTCCCGCACAAACTGGGCGCCTTGGAAGGCGCAGGCCGCGGGGTTGAGCGACACGTGCAGCGCCCAGCGCTCCATGCGCTGCTGGGGCGTGGCATCCTCGGGCAGCCTCGGCTCCACAGGGTACACCACGTCCTGTCCCCAAGGCACGCCGGAGCAGGTGCACAGCAGCAGCGTGCTGCCGCAGCGCGCGCAGTGGGGCAGCGGGATGTCGGGGTTCATGTGTAGCGGCGGCGGCGGCGGCGGATTGGCGGCGGCGGAATGGCGGCGGCCGCGGGGGTCCCTGTCCTTGAGACTGCGTGCAGCCTGTGAGGTGCCGGATGAGGGCTTGTGTTGCGCCTCGCAGAGGCAGATGCGGAGGAGGGAGCTGGTTCCTCGAGGGAGGCGAGCGGGCAGCTTTGAGGAACCCTAGAGGAACGCAGGGCGGGGTGAGTGCAAGGAGGTGAGGTGTGTGCTGTCTCAGCACATACTTGGGCCTGTCTCTGCAGGGTTTGGCGTCCAGCTGCCAGCGGCGCGCAGCAGGCACATCACTCGGCACGAAGGTACAGATTATGGTTCGAGGAGAGCAGTTTTACAACGTACACGATGCCCCGATGCCCCGAGGCCCGTTCACTGCCTGTCAAAGAGCTCGAAGCAGTAGCTGTCCCGCTGCGAGGCCAGCTTGCTGACGGCTTGCAGGCAGCTCAGCGCGTCGTAGCCCAGGCGCAGGTCTGGGTCTTCCAGCGGGTAGCAGGCTGGGTCTGACCCCTGGTACACATTGTTGACCTGCCGTACAGGAGCAGTACAGGGCAGGTCTGCCGCTGTGGCGGCCTAATCTGGTGGTTGTTTTCAGCGAGGGCTGGCGTCCACACACCCTCCAACGCTCCTGGCGAGTGCAGGCTAGGCGCAGCATGCCGCACAGCCCTGCCAGCGCACCAGCATCTGTCCCAGCCTGTCCAGCCGGCTCCAATCAAACGTGACAAAGCGCAGCACCGCCGTGCGCACGTCCGCCTGAGGCTGCTTCTTGGTGTAGCCGCTCATGCCAGGTTACTACAAAGGGCAAGGGAAGCACGGAGCTCGCATAAGTGGAGAGGCTTGCAGGGTGAGAGGAAGGGCATCAAGGCAGGGGAACAGAAGCAAGCCACGCTTTGCTGGCCAGCCAGGCAGCGGCATGCGGCTGGCGGGCCCTTCCCCTCCATGCTGCCCCCTTCCCCTCCAGGCGACTAGCAGCCCTGGCGCACCGCCCCGCCACCAACCTTCTTCAGTGTTTTCCACTCGACCACCAACCATCCTTCGCAGTGCAGTAATCATCGGCCATGGCCTCGAGGCGTGGGCGCAGCCTGCAGGGGCCGCAGAAGGGCAGCACAAAGGAGGGTGCTGGCAACAGCGCAAGTCTGCTGGCAGCCCGGCGTTCCAGCCCTTAGCGTCCTCCCCGCAGCCATCCACAAGAAGCCATGGAACCCACCTTGCAAACGCCTCCACGATGCCCTTCTGCTGCATGTCGATGACAAACTGGTCGCTGAGGAAAGCGCATGCTGAGGGGTTCCGCATCACGTGCCATGACCAGCGCTCCATGCGCTGCGCCGGAGTCGCATCCTCGGGCAGCTTCGGCATCAAAGGAAAGACCAGGTCCTGGCCGTGCAGCACGGCCTTTCAGCCGCACAGCATCAGCGCGGTGCCGCACCGCGCGCAGTGCGGCATCGGCCCGCTGAGGCCCATCGCGGCGGCGGTGGCGGCGGCGGCGGCGGGTTGGCAGCAGAGGGTGGCGGCAGCCTTGCAGATGCCAGTGGGCTCGTCCCGCGTGATGTCAAGCTGCAGGGCGCAAGAGAGAAGGTAGGCCGTCGGGCAGCCCACCCAGGTTTACGCTTGAAATTGTGCTCAAGCCGCTGGATGGAAGAAGCTGGGTTGATGATACAGAGGGCGCTGGACCACTTGTGTGGAGCAATAGAAGGCGATTGGAGGGCCTCTGCAAAGGGCTATGCATTGCCGCCGACCACGCAGCGCGCCCAGCAGGGCGCAGCAATTTTGACCTTTTGAGGCGAAACGCAGGCCTGGGACCTTTCGTAAGATTTTGGGGCATACAAAACCTCATCCAGCATCAAGTGAATCACGCGGAGACGTGTTCTGTATCATCTGCAGACAGGCTTGCGCACTCCAGGCAAGCTTACGACAGCAGCGCCGTTCGCCAGGTTACTGGCGCCTGCGCGCACGACTTGCCAGCAATCCGCGCTTGCATCTGCGCTGCACACGTGGTGCCGGGCGTCCACCCGCCTTGCCGCCCTCGGCTGCCGCACAGGGCTGTCCCAACTCGTTTGGCTTGGTCGTTCGTGCGCCATAGACAATGGAGGCGGCAGCTGAACTCCACCGTGCAGCTTCTGCCGGCAACGAGGCGGAAGTGCGGCGTTTGCTGGCAGCAGGTGCTCGAGCCGACGTGCCCGACGCAGATGGCGACCTGGCGCTGCACCGAGCCTGCTTATGCCACCACGCGGGAGTAGTGCAGCTGCTGCTGGAGGCTGCGCCAGCCACGGCTTCAGCGCCTGGCAGATTTGGATGGACGCCACTGCACAGCGTTGTGGCAAACTTACAATTCGATGGCACGACTGCGGTTGTGCGCCAGCTGTTGGCAGCTGACCCAGCCACGGCCTTGGCAGTAGACAGGCATGGTTTCACACAGCTGCACCGTGCGGCTATCATCGGGCACAGCTCAGCCATGAAGCTGCTGCTGGAGGCAGCCCCGGCCGCAGCTGCGATGCTGGATTCGGACCAGCGGGCGCCCATCCACTTTGCCGCTGCTGCGGGCGACACTGCTGCAGTGCACCTCCTGCTGGAGGCAGCGCCGGCGCTGGGTTTCGCCCCGGATGCAGCTGGCCGCACACCTCTGCATATGCTGCTGCACCGCACAGATCGCACGCTCCAGGGCATCATGGAGACGGCACGCTGCCTGGTGCGGGCGGCGCCGGCGGTGCAGCCCACCCTGTCGCTTCTCACCCGCAATGGTCTGTTGCTGTCGGGCCTCTGCGCCGACCTGGTGGCGCACCTGCCGCTGACCCAAGAGCAGTGGCAGTCGATTCCTGCGCCCTGCCCCGACCTGGCGCGCGCTCTGCCTGCCGTCCAGGACCGATCGGCCGCCGAGGCTGGCTGGCTGGTGGGGCGGCTGGCGGAAGACCAGCGTGCGCTGCTGCAGACCGCGACGCTCAGCCTGGGACGGGCGCAGCAGCAGGGCCAGCGCAGCATGCCGGCAGAGCTGATGCAGCGCATCCTGGCGCTGTGCCTGCTGGACTCCTGAGCCCCGTGCTGCCTGGCTGAGGAGCTGCCAAGCTGAGTTCGCGCACCTAATCCATCGTCATTTCCACCGAAAACGTTTCAGCATTACAAAGTACACCCATAACAACATGAACATTCTGAATTCCAGCAAGGCATGCTTGCCAAGGAATGCGGTGTCGAGGAATGCGGTGGTAGAGATCGTTGAATTGGGACGAATTCGTTTGGTGGAAAATGAGTAGAACAGCTCTGGCTCAGAAACAATCAGGAACAGTTTGCTGAGTTAATACTACTGAAGATCATTTGTTCAAATGTAGGAGCAAATGGGTCGGCAGCTGCACTGCAGCTCTGCACAAGGAGCTGCAGGGTTACCAGCAGGACAAGGGGTATCTCTTCGGTGCGACAGACAGTCCCGCCCCTCACGGGTTGGTCACCACGATTTTCACTGGGCCGCTCGGATAGGTTCCTGCGGGCAGCACTGACGATTCAGGCAAGCGCTAATGGCAACGGCCTGCCACCTTTGGCATCCCTCTGCGTAGCCTTTCAGCACCTCCCCATCCTCTTGCGCTGCCGGGGGGCCTGGCGGCGGAAGCCAGTACGTGAACTGCGAGGCAGGCGCTGGGGCCTCCTGTGCCGCCATAAGGCGGTTGACCTGCGGTTGCAGGCCACAGGAGGCACGCGCCAAGCCGACTTTTGGTGATGCACATCAAACATACAACTGCGCATTCATTCATTCAGCACACAGCCCGGCCGCCTCTTGCTCGAGGGCGGCCCACTTTGGCCTGGGCAGCCCGGGCCGCCCTCCCCCCCGGGCGCATGTTCGGTGTTGGAGGGGTGTGCCCAGCGATAGGGGGCCCCTGAAGGCATGCGCCGAGGCCGGGAAGCGTGGTTCGGCGCTGCTGCACGCTTGGCGATTTGACCAGAACCACGTGCCGCCGAGTGGCGGCCGCAGTTTCCGGCCCACGGTCTACGGTCGCAGCCACGGGACTCGGCGGCACGGCGTTTGGGCCCAAGCTTGCTGCCGCCGCCGCCGTGCCCGGGGGGCAGCGCGGCGGCGGCGGGGGCACGCTGCGACGCCCCCGTGCTGCCGAGCTGCGGCCGTAGTTTCCTGCCAGAAGCCCACGGCCACAGCCACGGGACTCGGCGGCACGGGGTTTCGGTCCACGGCTTGCTGCCGCCGCCGTCGCAGGGGTGCTGCCTGCGGCGGCGGCGGCACGGCGTTTGGGTCCACGGCTTGCTGCCGCTGCCGCCGCCGCAGGGGTGCTGCCTGCGGCGGCGGCGGTAGCGCACATGGCAACCCCCCGCGTTTCCTTGCCTCCCATCCACCGGACCCCGTCCTGCGCTTCACTTTGTTTAGGGAGGGGCTGCTCACTGCTCATTGCTCATTGCTCATCGCACACTGCTCAACGCTCATTGCCCTATATCCCACCCAGCCGCAGGACTCCACTGCCGCCCGCGCCCCGCCCCATCTGGCCGCTTGCGCGCCCCATCCCCCCTCGATGGGGCCCGCCCACACCGGGGCCTCCCCCCTCCCGCCCACTGCTTTCTCAACGGCCCCGAGCCGGGGCTGCCCTCATTGCATACATAGTGCGCCTTTCCCTGCTTTTCTAGTGACCTAGCGTTCCGCACTGCCGTTTGGCCAGCCCATGCTCCCGTACCGTTGCGTTTCTCCCCAATGCGCCATGCCACTTTGCCAGTCATACACACGTTTCGATGCGTGCCCTGTCAGCTGCTTGCGTTGCATGTCGCCTTGCTCCACCCCTGTTTTATTGCTTTCTCTGCTTTCGCCCGGTTCCCGTCCCGTTTCGGCGGGGAGTCTATGTTGCAAGCTAGTTCTTGCTTTACCAGACTTTAAGCCCACACAAGCACAAGCAAGCAACTACAGTGAAAATGTAAGCACGGATAGGCAGGAAGGCGATGCATGGCATGAGCAGGGGGGAGGGGGGGGGCACAGTACCACCACAGCGCAGCACAGCAGGCCTGCCGCTGCCCAGAGACCAGCGCTGTGGCCCCACCTTTGCCCAGCGGCATGTGGAGGGGCCGTGTGTCCGGGTAGGAAAAGTTCTGCGTGTGGCACAGGAAGAGAAAGATCATGCGGTTACCAGTGCTAGTCGCGGCCTGATGCGCTTCCGACCGGCAGCTTGCAACCGCCCCACATGTTACCCTGTGTTACAGTCACCCCGCTATGATAGGCCGCGTGAGCAGACCTTGGGCAGGGGGCACACGTGATCAAGGGGCATCAAGAGAGGGGGTGGACCATGGAGCACCCTCTCCATGGCTCCGACCACCCTCCCCCCAGCTGAGCGTCCCAGGGTCACCCCACCCTGGCCCCGCTCCCCGTCCTGCCGGACACGCAACCCCCACAACGTGGTGGGGGACGTGGGGATCCTTAGCAGCTTAGGCCTGCCAGGCCGACGGGTGCCGATGCTGGTGCGGGCTCCCGGCGGCAGGCAGCGCCGCCGCCGGGCACTCAAATGGCATGGGGCACATGGGCCCCCATGCCCGCACATCTCCCAGGCACATGAAAATACCAGAAGGCTGCACATGTAAGGGTGCATGCATTGCAGGCAGGAGTGCAAAGTGGCCTGCCGCGGCGGTCGGCTGTGCCATTACTCAGTCAGCCGCCGCTACCGTGCCGGGCTTGGCGTTCCCATGCCAACATGCCGGCGTGCCATCGCGCAAGGGGCCAGTGAGTGTGTGAGGTGGAGGTGGGGGTGGTGGGGCTGCCGCTGACCGTTGCTTGCTGACGCTGACGCTGCTCTTACCTGCGGGGGGAGGGGGTGGGTCGGGAGCCAAGGCCGGGCAAAAGATGCCTGGGCCCTACTCAAGGGAACCGGGGGAGTCACTGTGCCAGGGCAGCAGCATGCTCCTCATGGC